ATCTGTGCTCATAATTCTGCATTATATTGTTATGAAATGCCCAGCCGCGGTAAGATAGCTTCTCCTCAAAGCATGTTTAGGGTGGCCAGAAAATGGCAAGGGAAGTCAGGGTTGCCAGAATTGGGGCAAATCTGCCATTTGGCGACACAATTGATGATATGCTATAGACGGATGGAGAACATTCTAGAACGAATTCTTACCAGTTTGGTCCAGAATGTTCGGAAAGAAGGCCAAAAGCTATATAAGCCCTGCCTGTACGCGGAGTAACAGTTTAGTGTCGAGTGTATGGCGAGTTGGTGCATCGCGAGTGTATATCTTTGAGGCTATCGTCGAGTGCATCGTGAGTTGTAGCGTGTATAGTTTCGAGAGTCACTGAGTTCTGAGAACGACCGAACCGAGTCGGGAACTGTACTCTAGTGCATTGCCGTGAAGCTGTCTTCACCGTTATAGCCTGATAGCCTGAAAGTTGTGTTGCTGATTGTTTCAGCGTGTTTGTCGTAATTTTTCGATGACTGTAAACGTGTTTTTGGAGCTGTTCTAGGTAATAAATTGTGTTTTCATTCTTCATCGAGCGTTGCCGTTTATCACGCCAAATCCGCGAACCGGTACAGAACACAACAATATATTTAAGCATTGAAGTTACAATGATTTAAACAACAGCTTTATGGAAGCTTCTTTATTCGTATAGAAATTCTGTGTAATTATTGTAAGTTACTTTGGTAACGCTCTCTAGCACTAAATCTCTTAGGATAGCTGACGTCATAGAGCACCTTCTGTGGAAAGCTTACTCGTATTTACATGTAGGGGGTTAATTTCAGCCAGCTCGATCAGCATTTGATAAACGAACTTGGTTCAAACTAAAAGTTTTCTGTATCCTTAATTCTTAGGTAGCTGATATGCCTAAAAATTGAGGTAGTTGGAAAGAAGCATAGTATATATTTCATTCTTAAGACTACGGTGCAAAAAATAGTATTTTCTATTTTTGAGATCATATATAAATTACTTATTTTCCGTACCTCATTTTATAAATTGATCTAACCCTTAGGTACGATTACTCTTAATCAATTATTAGTCATTCACACTTTTTTGTGCTAAAACCACACTTTAGTTTAATATATCATTATATATATATATTTTAAGCTATCATTTTGTTTCGATTTTCCATCTACGTAATAGATTTATAAAACTTAGTGTTTAACAGTTTGAAGTGGCTTAGTGGCTAACTAAATACCTCTACCAACCACTCATCCTTAAAACGTCACCTATTGTAACGTCTTTGCGTTGCTACGCTTCTAACATAAAAACCACTAAAAAATGTAAAGAAACCTCGCGTATAGAATATCCTCACTTGAAGATGCACGTGCTCGAAATGTTTCAGTTTTTCTGTAAATTTGAATAATAAAAGTTTTGTTGTTCGGTCGATTTTTTGCCAATCGATTGTTGTTCAATCGAATGGCAAAATTTCTTTAAAAACTTCATTATAATGTACTGGTGGCGAGTTACCACCTTTTTCCTAAACTAACCCTGGAAACAAGAGATGCACAAAACTTTAATATTAACTTGTGAGGGGCTCGTTTTAAATAGGGTCATAGAAGAGTCCTGTATAGTGTAACAAGTATTTATTAACAGGTTTAAGTTACACACGGACATTGCATTTAACTTTAAGAAAATTACAGAGCAAGGATCTGGTACAACCTATCAAGTGGGACACTGGGCTTTTACTGAAGTACTTCTCTGGCTATTCACCAGAGGGCAGCCTCGTTGTCACAGTTAGTCCAACAGTTTATGTTAAAGGATTGGTTACAAACTTCATTTTCTCGCCTCTGGTGAGTTAACTAAACTAATACAACACAAATTTTAATTCATCTTGACTTACAGCTACAGGCTGCAACTTACAACAATTTAGCACGCTACATCACCAGTACGCATACTCAAAGCTACTGACTGGGTCGCGCAACCTCAATTTTACCGAAGTTCCCATTTACCGAACCATACCGACTGTTCGGCAGTCACTTTTAATCTAACAACGGATTCCGCTAGGCAATGCAGACGACGGCTTTCGCTATCAAAGTCTCTACCACAAGTCATATCGGTTGCAACTCTTTTTCTCAATTTAAACTATGCCGTTTGCGGTAAAATCGCCATAAACCACTAGACTGAGCAATTATGTGATGAAACGAGGCATAAAAGGAAAACTCAAAAATTGATCTTTACTCTTAGTTAATTTTAAATTAAATGTTCAGGTGTATTTGTAAAATATAACCTAAGTATTTGCTTCAGTTTTTAGACGTTTGGTTTCCCGTTCGTAGTATGCTTAATCGTAGAGTTCTAAATGCTCTGATATTTACATTAATAAGGCTTTTTGCTTAGGTGTAATATAATGCATCGCATATCTGGTGTTATAATCTGAGCTTTAAGTGAAGTTCTTTGAGAAGCAAAAAACGGTTCTGATTTTTTTCAGTGCAATCTTAGAGAACAAGAGTTTCAATATTAGTTTGGCTTAGGCGTTTATTTATGGTTAAGGCATTTAAGTGCATTCTGTCTAATAAAGTGCATTCTAAGTTCTAAAAGAGCCAAAAGTGACTCATCTCACATGTCAAAATTGTACCAACTAAAGAGTCAAAAGTCATCTTAATAAAAGATACGCCCATATATCTTTGTGATGGGGTGAAACTTCTCTGTGTTTTACGTTTTCTTGGGATGAGAAATATCTCCAGTTTGCTGGATGACAAAAATGTAATGATTAAAATATTTTTATTTACTCTTTGAACGAGTGATTTCTTATCCCAGATAAGGTGAAACAGTGCAGTGCGAACTGTCAATAGGTGTTTCTTTATTGACTGAAATATAAATTTGCAGAACATATTCCAGTTCCAAGAAACGTTTTGGGTATAATTTTTTTAAATGTAACAATATGGTTTCCTTGTATATCTAACTCGCATTCATTCATATTTGAAACATGTAATTAGGAAAGCACAAACTACAGTGACGAATAATTATATGAGTCTTTCAAACTATGGTGTGCAAGTATTAAAGAAAATATTTCTCGGTTATTGGTTATTTACTTCGTTGTGTTTTAGATATTCAAGTTTTATTTCTGAACCTACTGAAATACATTCAAAAGCTATACCCACATAAAAAAATATCTGTAACATTTGATTTATATATATATATATAAATGAAATATTTATATATGCTTACAGTACCAATTTTTTTCCTAATGTTTCTCTCTAAGACTGCTTTCAATATGTAAGAAGTGATTAATTTTGTAAAAATTTCCATCCAAAGTCTATATCTGCGTGTAATAAGTAGCGAAAATATATAAGTATAGGAAAATGATAGCTTGATTTGCTAAATTAAACTTAATTTCCGTACTTAAAAATTAGGGGCGAGCATAACATTTACTTGAGATTTAGTTACTCAGCCATTTGAATTAATAAATACCTATAAAAAAACTTATAACATCCTCATGAAACAATAAAAATGTAAGCATAAGAAAACTATAAAAAGTGCGGTAATTTTTTCTTAAAATTAAGTAGTAAAACTAAACACGAAATAAAAGTTTTAATTAAAATTAAAAACTCTTTAGCCGTGAGATTTTTTTTTTAATTTTTAATGCAGTAAAAATAGTGTTTAATGCTGTAAGAATGATAAAGATTGTTTCACATAAGCAAGCATAAATGGAGAAGACATGTTTAAAAAATTACTTATTGCTGTGTTTCTGAATTTATTCAGAGCAAGGTAAAATTTAAATTAAATTTTAAAATTTGTAATGCATTAATTTAAATAAATGTAATACTTACAATAACAGTAACCTTGTCTGGTATAAATCAACATCCAATAAACATAGCTTGATTTTAATATTTTTGCTTATTACTATTTAATTATTTTGCCCCTTAAGCGTAAATTAAATCTTTGCTTGGAATTTCCCATAACAAATTTCTTGTTTATATATAGAAAGAGAGACTTAAAGATTCTTAAGTTAAACGTAAATTGGACGAAAGCAAGGTTATTCCTCAATAATATTAATATTAGCAATCGTGTCTAAGAGGTGTAACGCCCACCAGCGGCCGAGCGGTAAAGTCGCTGAACACTGGTAGTTCGGTCCGAGGTTCGAATCCCGCGAACGGGCTGGCTGCATGGGTGTTTTCGTGGTTTTCCCCATATGTAACGTGTATACGAGCCAGTTTCCCTTAGAAAGTCCTCCACGAAGGCATCCCTCCCCTTAGGCAGATAGCCCTCGAGGCTTTGCCGTAATTAAATAACCTAACCTAACCTAAGAGGTGTAACACAAAATCGAAAAGTATCAAAATTAAAATAAGAATTCGTAGTAGTACAAACTCTAAAAATAAAAATGAAAAGGCAAAAGGGAAAAATACAAGATAATAAAAGTAATAATTAATCTCCCTTTTACTGAAACTCCAATTCAGAACTGATCAGAGGAAAATAAACTAAAGCTTCACAAAAGTCGATTAATATGTTTCGAAAACGCGTTTCGTTCGCCTAGTTCATTTGGGGTCAAAAACCGAATCTATTAAATTTTCATTTAAGACACTAAAATTCATATAAAACCGCAACTTCGAATCTGAAATGTACCAGGACTTTCCTAACACACCTTTGAAACACTTGGTAAAACGAATAAAAATATAAAATTGGGCTAAATTGACTACTAAAAAAAAAAAAAAAAAACCCCAAAATTTACATTACGTAAAAAAAACCATCCAGAAAAATCAAATTGGTCTAAAATCATTATATTCAAATCCGAAATTCGAAGGCAAATAAATAAAAAGAGTAAAACAAGTATACTTTAAGCCAAATTGCCATTTAAATAACGCTCAAAAATTGGGTGGTCCCCAATTATGCTAAGCTAAATTTTTAATGCCAAGAAAACGAAAACCTTTTCACAAAGATTCCTTAAATAATAAAATCAAATCTGAGCTTTATCAGATAAAAACTGGAGACTAATTGGAAACAAAATTTGTAAAAAAACGCAAACTTACTGAAATCTTAGGACGATCTTCTAAACGAAAATATACTTAATTCTTCAGACGATCAAATTATGTTCTTTGTAGAATTCAAAGCTGTTCTGTAGTTGCAAAAAAAATTTAGTTCTTGGAAAAAGAATGCGATAATGTTCAAAGTGTCCAGTAGCAGAACTAAGTATTTAAACATGCGTTCAAAATGTCCTATCCTGTTAAACTTTGTGTTCGGGGGTGCCAGATGTTGGGTACGGTCTGTAAACGTTATTACCTTCAAGTAGGGGTGATCATCGACTCCAAAATGGCGGCGTAAGAAACTTCTAAAAGATGCTATGTAAATTTTTCTTATGTTTAGACTCCCAAAAGGGAACATGTAAATTTTAAACATAAGCTACCATTAAATATTCAACATGTTATTTATTCTCAAAAGAAATTTAAGAGAATGTCACTAAAGATTTTATTTTTCATTTTCAAAAACTTTATTAGCATGAAAGTTAAAATGTGCTTAAAAAAGGTTGATTTTACGTGTAAACCTCAATAAAACTACATGGTAATATGACATAACAAACTTTCGCAAATAAAATTTACACTCGGATAATCCATTATAAATTTCCAGTTTATAATAAATATGATTTCAAATTATCTTTATATATTGTATTATTGCTAACCCATTACAAATAATGAGATCGTGTGTTCTTAGGAGAAAATATTGAATATAACTATAACCATAAATTTCTCAATTGTGTTATATTTTCAGTCAAATTTTATATTCATTTTAAATATTCGTTAATAAAAATTTAAAATCATCAAAATATATTTTCATGTGCTCTCTAATTGCATAGAAAGAAGGTTGTTCAAACTCTTCAAAACCATAGTGCTGCATGTTTTTCTTATTTTATGCCAATTTCTGTGGTTAATTTTTATTTCTTTTCGAACTATGATCAATGTGATTTTTAAACATGTCGGTAGAAAGCTCTAAGACATGTTTATTGCTTTCGGGTCACAGGTTTCGTTTCCTGGCAAAATAGAAAATACTTGATACAATTAAATACATGATACATGTTACAATTTTCATGCCCCAAGTGAACCAGTGAAATAAATACACAACTACGTCATTACTAATTAACATTAGTATTCAGTCTTTTGTAAAATAAGTTCACAAGTCTCCACATGGCATTAATTTATGATAAAGAATATCATAGAAAGCATTTTTATGCCATTTGGTTTTGCCAGTTTGAAAATCTCATTTTAAATACAAGACTTTATGTTCGACATCTGTAATTTCTGGGATTAAAGTTCGTTAAATAGTAAGCCTATTTAGCTACTCATCTTAAAGCTATTTCAGGCATTACACTGAAATAATGCAACGCAAAGGTACAAGTCACCTGCACCTAGCTGTAAGCATAAGCTTTCCTTAAACTGTTCTTAAATTACAGTACCAATGAGTTACTGTTATTACCAACTCAGTAACAGTAACTCAAATTTCTAAACTTAACAGACCAAACCATCTTGCGACTTTCACTCTGACGTGAGACTGAGGATACTCACCAAGAGACAAATTCCGAGGTAATCAGGCAGCATTAACGCCAAAGCTCTCACGCATCGGGTATGCACTATTCCTTCAACTTTATAGCAAAACTGCTTGTCAATAAAATCTACGCAAATTCTGGAATGAGCAATATCGTGGGGAAAGGAGACAAAAGAAGAGATGTAGACTACGCAAAAAAAAAGGGGGGGGACAGTTCTATATCTCTCGTTCTACTCGGCTAATTGTCGAAATTTAAATTGTGTTTTTCATGTCTCGAAAGCGCGATTTAAAACACATATTAGATTTATGTATAGTATCATTCTAAAATAGGTATTTTGACACAAAATCGGACTTTTCTGAAATAACATGCTAATGTTTTTTTTTTCCATATTTCGATTCTTCGACTCAAATTATAAATATATACGCTAAAAAAAGATAAGAATGTAGAACGAGCAATTAAAACACAAATTACATACATCGCCAAATGCAAATAGCAACCAAAATTAGCATGAAACGCAAACCCACAGTCACATCACAAAGCCTTAAAAAGGAACATGCCGAAGTTATGCGTCAGTTTGCAAGCAGCTATAGTTAATTTTGTGCAATCCGAGATAACTAAGGCGGAAAGTATAAGCCGATTTGCAAAGTGAAATAGCCCACCAGCGGTCGAGCGGTAAAGACGCTGAACACTGGTAGTTCGGTCCGAGGTTCGAATGCCGCGAACGGGCTGGCTGCATGGACGTTTTCGTGGTTTTCCCCATGTGTAACGAGCCAGTTTCCCTTAGAAAGTCCTCCACGAAGGCATCCCTACCTTTAGGCAGATAGCCCTCGTGTGATTTGCCATAATTAAATAATCCAATCCAATCTAATCCAAAGTGAAATATGGTGGAGGTTTGTCGGGCTACTGCAAGACAATCCGCTGTTCCGAGAGAGCTAAATGTGCATTGTAGTGTCATCAATACCATGTGGCATAGTCCAAAGGTATCAAAACTCCTGGAGAAGCCCCGGAGGATTAACACAACGAGAGACGATCTTCCTGTTGTTATGTGGAAAACGCCGTATTTCATTAACAGCACGACGATGGCATCGCATCTCTCTGCTGCTGTAGCCCATATCTCATTAAACTGTGCCGCGTTGACTACATGAAGATGAACTGTAGGGCCAATGACTTGTGATTTGTGTTCCTTTGTCCCCATCGCATCTCAGAGTGCGGTTAAATTGGGCCCGTGAATATCGCAGTTTGACACCAGAGCCACGTACTCTTTACAGATGAGTCCTGATTTAACATCCAGAATGTTTCCCGAAGGGCGTACTTGTATCGGCTGAAATGGCAACGAACGGCCGCATCAACCTGCACGTGATTCCTGGTGCTTCCATCACAGCCGTCGGATATCGAGACGAAATTCTACACACCTTGTGCGTTCTTTTATCACTGCAATGGGTAGCAACGCGATATTTATGTACAATAACACCCGCCCGCATAGAGCTCGAGTGGTGCGAGTTATCTGGAGTGAAATCATTCCACATTTGATAGATCACTGGACCTGAATCTTATAGAACATGTTGGGACAACGGATATCAGCTCTCCAGGCAACCTGCACGAGTTCCGACATGTATTACTGCAAGAATGAGTGCTACTACCACAACCAGCGATCAACAACACTTGCCTCGCCGTTGTCAAGCATACATTTCAGCTAGAAGGTATCATACCCGTTATTAAAGTGAAGTTTCCATTTCACATTCTTCTAATCTAATTGGTTTTTTTCGCCATGTGATGTTCGTAATACATAAGTTTTGTATGTATTTGCTTTATTGTTTGCAGTGTGGTCTAATAATGCCACACCTGGATCAGTTCCACGAATATTCATCAAAAAGCTTTTCTTGTATTCCGTGTTTTACCTTTGTTGTTTAGTTTTTGATAAGGGGTGTATTATAACGTTTGTAGAGTGAAATGCACGGCAGACTGGATGTGCGTCACATGACAAAGTATCTCACATACAGGATCTGTCTCGTGTAAAAGCAACTTGAATAGTTTGAGTTGGTGCATCACAGGTAAATATGGTTCGATTAAATTGTTTGTTACTATCATTTGTAGCATTTGTAAATTCTTTTTGACCAACCCTGAATTTTGTAACACAGTATTAATATCTAAAAGTAGTATCGAACTGTACAGTTCAGTCACCGTTGCATACACAGTCTTCCGTTATTTGGAAAACATAGATATGAAATCTTATTTTACTGAACAGAAATGCTGCATGCTGAAGTAGAAAACATCAGCCAAAATTTCTCCGTGTCAACCAATTAGCCGTCAAAGCAGTCTGTTAATACACATTTATTCATTTTTGAAACAAATCATATATTCTCGCCAATCAGTAGTACCTTTTAAATAACATGTTAATATCAAGGAGGTCTTGAGAAAATGCATAATCACAATATTGTGTTATTGTAACATGTATTTATGCTCACACAAAGAAATACCGAGGCTTGTCTAGCAAAAGTCACTGCGCGAAAGAAACGCCACTGAAAACTGGAATGACTTTGAAAAACGTTGCCTTGAATACGTCTCTCATCTCTGCACCAAAGAGTCTCAATTTTAATATTTTGACAAAGAGTGAAAATGTTTCGGTTCTAAGTAGTCTAATTGTATTTATATTTTTGATTCAGAAACGTATGCAGTAGTTTGTCATGTCTTTAAGCGGGCAACATTGTCTCTCGATAAATTTAAGACAGCGTGTTTTCTTGAAACCCTTTCTAAAGGGTACAGATTTGAAAATTCCATCCATTACTTGAAACACTTGAGGCTTCTTAGAGTATGGAAGTAATGAAAGATCATTAAAGAATGTAAGAGTTATGTAAAGAAAATTTTGTCAGCGAAAAAATGGATTTATCCTTGAAGAAAGTTTTTTTAGTTGCTATAGATCCCATTCTTTGTACTATACAGCTACCTTCAAAGCGCGGGCATTCCCCAATCTTCCCTTCGTTACAAACCAGTATACCGTATTTATCTGCGCAATTTTCATCTTTTTATACTAATTTTAGCACTTGAAAAGTGGAGAGGGAAAAATACGCGGACTCGTAATTTTACGCATATAAAAAATAATATAGACCGCGTCAGTGTATACTATTTCAAAAGAGACAGCTTAAATGGTAAACACAGCAAACATTAAAAAACACACTAATATTATTATATTATGTACGTCAAGGAACTTGTCAGTTTCAACAACATTCATTTTACTTACGCAAAGTACTTTCCTATTTGTGCGTATATTTTACACTTTTTCATTAAGTTAGAAATTTATTGTTATTAATTTTTAATTACTTCAATTTATTTTTACTATAAATCAGAAATTACATTTTCACTGTTAATCAGAACTAAATGCTGAAAACCTTAGAGAAGGAAATACGCAAGAAAGAAAAATATTGCGAGTAAATATTCATTCGAGTATTCATTCATCTGTAAGAAGAATATCTTTTCGTCACTCTCTCGTGCTCAGTTTGCCTCACTTTTTTTTTTTTTTTTTTTCCCTTCAACTCAACAAATGTAATGGAAAGAAAATCCAT